ATTCAAAAAAAAATAAATTTCATAGTTAAATGTTTATTACTTCATGCATTTGTTTCATCACAAAAAACTGCATTAAGTAATATAATATGACAACCTACATATAAATTTGTTTTGAATCGGTATATCTACTGGATTAATAATATTATTACAATACTTACGTTCGTATCTTGTCATTCTACAGTTTGGATTGACGCCATGAATTGAATAGAGAACAAACAATTAGGGTTTTGAGAATTAACGTTACTATATATAGGGTTTGATAATATTTTTTAAAAATTATTTGTTGTTTATGTTTTTTTTTTTTTTGCCAACCGCTACCACCCGCAACCGCAAACGCTGGTAGAAATGAGCTTTTAAAATTCTGCGATTTCGAGCGGTCTAGAATGGTCTCGAACGGTTTAAAACGATTTATATGATTGGTTTTAAATGCTAGAAACCGCAATCGCAACGTTTGCGACTAATAGCGGGAAAACCAATCAAGTCCCTTAACTCATGAAATGACTGAGAGGGGCGTATCAAGATCCTAAACCTACACCAAACATCATTGTCCCGCAAGCCTAGACCTGCCAACCAAGTACATGTTCCAGGTGTGAAAGTTTCAGGTGATTTTACAAAATGGATAGGAGCCACTTAAATGTAGAGTAACCAACTAAATAATCAGTAGTTCTTTAATTTTAGAGTAATTTTCAGTTTAGACAGAATATGAAGCAACCAAACAACAATAACCCCACAAAGACAGATACATTGAGAGACTCTATTGATTTGACCCCAATCAAAACCAAACTGTTAACACAAAACAATAGGACTTGACATACTTCAATAGCTCCGATTGGTAATCGCATAATTGCAGAATAGCATTTTCTAATGCGATTATGCAAAAAATTTGTCAATCAAGGAAATATTTATAATTGCATTAGAAAACACAAAAAACGCATGATTTTCGTTTCGCCTAAAAATAGAAGTAAAAATTCATTATAGAAATAAATGGGTATATAGTTGCTTATTAACATAATGAGTTTTTTTTTTATTTTACCCATACAAAATATTTGCAATAAGAAAACAATTGTTTTTAATGAAACTTATATTCTTTTCGGATAATATTGAAAAACTTCACAAGGTATTAACAATTTTTAATATTTATATATTTTATTATTAAATATTACTTAAAATTTTATTAAAGTATTCAAAATATTCATATTATATGGCTAATAAAATATTCTAATGATTAAATGAAATGAGAAAATTATAAAAATATTTCTAAATGCATAATAATAAATATAAGTGAAAATAAATTATAAGTTTAAAACATAATATTGTTACACATACATATACGTAAAACTGTAAAAGTAAAGTCCATGACTCCATAATTAAACTCAATACGAAAAAGCTTATTGATTTTTTTTTACCAAAAAAAAAAAGCTTATTATAATTTTCTTGGTAAAGTAAGCATCTTTCAATCTTGTTCAAAGGTTCTCTGAAAATTTCATCTTTTACTTTATCTTTTCAAAACATATTTCTTTTTATCCTTTTACAAGCAAAAAAAAACAAAAGACAAAGAAGAATTATACTCCCATAAAAGTTTGACTGTCCCATAATCGCTTCTTGTTCAATTCTTCCCATGACCAATCCATTCTGCAATCGTATATCGTTCTGTATTTTGATCTATATATCTTAGTTTTATATAATGTAAACAGTCTTAGAACAATGAGAAATAAATTTGTAGCTTAACTGATATAAAAAAAATCTGAAAAAATCCAATCACATACACGGTTAATTCAACGGGTTAGAAGATAGATTTTCTAGCTATGTGGGATTCGAGTTCTATTATAAATTTTTACCGGGGGAGGGGGGAGATAATTTACACATTTTAGATACACCATGAGATTGAGAAATATCGAAGACTAATTAGTACTTATTTTAAAAGTCCAGAACTTTCTTAATGAATAAAAAAGAAAAATGTAACCTAAGAAAGTGGTAATGCGCTAATGGCTTTCGTTTGTATACAAGTTGCCATGTTCGTCTAGGTTAGAGATAAACTCTCATGAATTTATTTAACCATTTCCATTTAACTAGTCAAAATGATGTATGACTTTAGATCCATTAAAAAATTCGACGAGTTAATTATTCGAAAGCTATATATACTTAAAAAAATTAATCGGATAGTAAAAGTTTGGATCACTCCCTAATGATAAAAAAAAACGGTAACCTAGATTTTGTGGTACTGTAAACGAGCGATACTATGTTACTAAAACTTGGAATATATTTTTGAAATTATGTGTTACAGAAGAATAAGAGATGATGGTTGGTTCTTCATCTTTTATTTCGTAAATAAAAATATTGGAACGATATGATTTGTTGCTCATGTTAAGCAACTATTTGGTCATACACCTTATTTAAATAGAGACAGATCTACCCGTCGCTAAAATATGCGTTGAACAAGTTTAGAAGAATGTACAAAATTTAAAATGTTTATGAGGGAAAATCTTTTTACAAAATCACTAGCATTGTTAAGTTATTTCAGAAAGATTTTTGTTTCTGAGATTTCTATAAAAGTATACAAACAAATAACTTAGACACTACACTTGTTTAAGGATTTAATTTCTTCAAATGTGTTGAAACATATTCAAATCATAACTACAATATAATACATATATTTAAAATGTTTTGATTTTATATTTTATTTGGTATAAGTAGTATAAAATTTATTTGGATTTATTTTTTATATAAATTGAATTTGGTGAAAAAATATTGGTTGTTGTTTAAAATTGGATTTACTTTGTATTATATAAACATCATTTGCAAAACAGCAAAAGATGTTTTAACAGTCCGATGTATTCTTCAAACTTCATACATGACAAATATAGAAACTCAAATATGAATTATGGAAGTAATGATAAATTGTTACTACGTAAGAATTATATAAATATATGATAACAATGATACATATGACGAAATTGAATTATAATGTTCATTTTCTAAGTAAGTTTTTATTTTATCGTAAAGTAAAGACCAAAAAATATCGAAATACAGCCATGTTACAGGTCTGATTGGTTCTGGCTGTACCTTTAGATTTTTGACTGTAGATTTTAGTCTGTAGATGTTTTGGCTGTGACTGTAGATTTTAGTGCTGTAGTATTTTTGCTGTAGAATTTAAAATTTTGGAAAGTTGAAAATTGTATGCTTTAGAAAAAAAGACTTTCTACAGCCAAAAAAATGAATTATGGAAATATTTTGGTTGTGAGAAAAAAAAAGGAAGCCAAAGCTTCTAAACCTTGATTGGATCTATTTCAATGCTTTAAATTTTTTTTTGCTTTGTAAAGACTCTAAAGCACTTGCCAATCATGTCCGTAGTCTTGTTTGGATCGGACATAGCTTTAAAATATAGGCTCAAAATTTATTTAGATGCTAGGCAAAGAAACAAAAAAAAAAATTATTTGGACCGGACCATATTCAAATATATGCAGATTTTACGGACTACGGGACGTGTCGGTCCTGATATATCAAACCTGACAAAAATTTCTATTAATTTTTTATTTACTGCATTATAAAAAGTTATTTTTTGTAACAAAGCGAACAATGTTTTCAATTTTGTTAACATATCTTTAATCGAAGATATAACATACAAGTACAGTAATAAATTTAGGTAAAATTGATTTAGAGGTTTGTTTATTTTATTTAGAAATCCAAGAAAACTCAGTGTATATATAAATAGATGCAGTCATGAAATATGACAAAAGAGCATCCGAACAATGGGGAATATACATGTGTGTGGACCTACCAACCATGATGCCACCACCTCTCAATTCACCCACATTTCTTCTATCTACGCATGTAAGAATTATTTGTCAAAAGTATTTTCTTCACCCAAAAATAAGAGGATACTTGATGGCTTGCATCTACATTTACAATAAAATATAATTACCTTATAAAACATCATTTATTGATTGTAACCAAATAGACAATATAATCTAATGGTTTATGCCTTGTGGTAATGGTTCATTGTGTTTTCATTTGAATTTAAACTCAGATAATACATATTATTAATAAAAGAAAGATTATAAGCAAAAAAATAAAATCATTCTGTTTTTTTTTTTATTTAAATTTGCTAATGTAAATTGACACGTATATTATGGTTTCAATTTAAAAATGCATAATTTTAACATACATGCATGTGTAAAAGCAGAGGCAAATTAAATGAGGAAAAAGACAATGAATTTTGAAGAAACGACATAGATTATTATTTTTATTTTTTTTGATCAAACCAGGAAATTATTATAGATTAAATATGTGGAAGGAATATTTTCAAAGGAAAAAAAAGTATAAATTGGATTTTTTAGTCTATAAAAGAGATAGGTGTATATGCATGGTCTGATACCAAAGGACCATTTTCGCTTTTATTCATGAATAATACCTTTTTTATAAGAATTTGGAATCCTTTTGGATCGAACACTATAAATTAGAATCTTGGACTTGGCCCATTGCTCGGTCAAAAGGAGGTTTTCTAAGTATGTTCCAATTTCCAAACACTTCAAACCTCGAGAATGCCACCATCAAGAGAAATAGTAATTTTAAGTCAAAATTAAGAATCTAAAATCATGTGTTATCGTTATATATGCAATGTGATTGAAATAGAGAAATTTACATTGAATAGAGAAATTTATTATAATAGGAAACCAAGAATTGACACACGTCAAACACATAATAACGAAAAAGAAGCCTTAGATCTATGTATATTCAGTACGCCAAAGACAGTGATATACGTAAAGTATAGTGGTAGAAACTTTGGATAATTTCGTTTTAATAATATTAAGTTAGTTATTTCGGATTTATTTATGATTATGCAACGCAAACTTATGAAATATGGGCACAAATGCAACATGCCAACATGTATTATAATATACGCATGAGAATGATATTGCAGCAGTGAAAACAAAAGCTTTTATGGGAAAGGAAACTTATCTTCAGTGTAAATAAGATAAAGATAAAGATGAGCTTTGGATTGATGGGATGATACTAGCACTAATGCACCGAATCCCATAAAAACTCTTCAGTTAAGTGTGTTAGGGCGAGATAATATTAAGATAAGTGACTTTCCGAAGAAATCCTTGTGTTGCATCTCTTTTTTAATAATTCATAAATTACGTTTCATTACTAGAAATTTCTTTTCGAAAATTTTTTGTCGGAATATTTGTTTTCATTATTATTTTGATCAAGCAAATGATTTTTTTTCATTAGTGTTTGCTAATTCCTTTCCTGTCACTGAAAATATTGAAGTGCCTACATAAAAACAATTACGGAAATTAAGAAACACGTTAAATTGACGAAAAGATATATAGAAACATTGACTAGAGAAGTGAAAATCTGCTAGCACACGAATACGAATATTTTCTTCAAATTTATATGACAATTCTCTAAAATATATACTACCTTTTTCTCGAAATCAGTACCATTAAATTACAAACTTTTTTTTTTTTGGTTATTATAAACAATTGTAATTGCTTGCTTTTGGTATTTTTAAGTCTTTGTAATTTTTTTTTTTTTTTTGTAAGCCTTTTTCTTCCATACCACTACATGGTGCTAACTTACCTGATGAGGTTTTCTTGTTTACAAACTCGATCGACATCAAATATTCACACACACGTGCACACATACGTTAATGGCATCGTTCAGAACAAAGGAGAACTAAAAATTGTGATTCTTTTTACCATGAGAAGCGACCCCACCCAATTAAGTCAATTTGTGTAATCTTTGGTCATATATGAGAATGATCAGCTTTGCTTTTCTTGTCTTTCTTCTACATATTCATCTATAAATACCTTCTCTCACCTTCTCCTTTTTTCACACACTCACCTGTAAACAAAAACAAACTCATCGAAACGGTTATCTAAAAACTCTTTTAACTCTTAAGTTTTTGCTTCCAGTTTTACGTACCATGGATTACAGATCATCAATGGAGTCGTCGGAAACCCTAAGGTAACTATTTTCATGGCATACGCCTGTTATACCTAGCCTTTTCATGATCAATTCCCAAGAGAAGACTCATGGAGTTGCATGCAATATTATATGAAAATAAATGTAAATTTTATACTAACATGAATGTATATATTATATGTACACGTGCAGGAACAAGTGTGCCGCTTGTTATAGGCAATTCAACAAAATGGAACATTTAGTGGAGCACATGAAGATCTCTTATCATTCGGGTCATGAACCTACTTGTGGCGTTTGCAAGAAACATTGCCGATCTTTTGAGTCCCTCCGGGAACATCTCATAGGTAAATAATAACGTCTATACACTTTTCATATCTATAGATGTATACCATTTCATATATGCAAACATTTCTAAATTGTTATATCTATAGGGCCGTTGCCAAAACAAGAATGCAAGAACATTTTCAGCCTTCGCGGATGCAGATTTTGCATGACGATCCTCGAAAGCCCGAATGCTCGTAGGATCCATCAAGAGAGATGCCAATTTTCGAGCGTGAACTCTGTAATCCTCTTTTCTCATATTTATGTAATTAAACTTGTAACCAATGAATTGACCGTAAGAGTATATATACTTATATAAATCATATGATTTTCTCATTTTTAGGGACTGACGACTCGCATGGCGGCTTTAGGTCTAAGAGATAAGGCCATGATCGACTACACGTCCTCGCGGTCTCCACGAGTGGTTGCACTCTCTTGTAAGATGGTAGGAGGAGGAAGCGACGGGTCGTTGGATCTGTGTGCGAGGGTTTGCATAACGGATGAGAGTGACAACGTTGTGTTCCACACGTATGTGAAACCTTCGATGGCCGTAGCAAGCTATAGGTACGAGACGACGGGGATTCGTCCGGAGAATCTAAGGGACGCAATGCCGTTGAAACAAGTACAAAGAAAGATTCAAGAGTTCCTTTGTAATGGAGAACCCATGTGGAAGATTCGTCCAAGAGGTGGAAAAGCGAGGATTCTCGTGGGACATGGCCTCGATCACGATCTTGACTGCCTTCAACTTGAATATCCTTCTTCCATGATAAGGTTGACTTTTCTATTTTTTAAAAGTAAATAACGAAAATACATATAACAAGATTCTTTAGTGTTACTTCTCTTTCGATATATATAACATATGATTTTATGTGAATTTATATGCTAACGGTGAAGTTTAATATTTTTTTATGTAGGGATACTGCGAAATACCCACCGTTGATGAAAACAAGCAAACTGAGCAACTCTCTCAAGTACTTAACCCAAGCCTATCTCGGGTAATATATCAAGTTTATTTTTTTTTTATTTTTTTTTGGTATCATAAAATCAAATTAACTAATTCGGAAAGTGAGTATACATGCATGCACTCTTATGTTGATATAATATATGTGTATTATGTATGTATGATGTTTTTGACAAAAAAAAATGTATGTATAATGTATCATATATATCCCTTAATTATTAGTTTTTGACGCAGTGGGTATTGATGCTTGTATGGGTTTAAAGTTATAAGGAAGAGATTCAGAACGTGAAAAGATTCACATATTTAATAATATATTAATTTCTACATCTACACACATATACATATATATTAGTAAATAGATTTTATATGACTAGAAACACTAATCCAAAATCATTAGACATTTTTATTTTACACGAGATGCTTATTATATTCAAGATTATATATTAATAAATGATGTGTTTATGTAGGTATGATGTTCATTTTGGGATACAAGACCCGTATGAAGATTGTGTAGCGACGATGAGGCTTTACACGAGAATGAGATATCAGAAACACAAGATTGAAGCTTACCCTTTAGCCGCCGATGCGCAGAACCGTAGCAACCAGGTGGCTTGGAGGCAGAGTGAGGTCGAGAGGATGTCTCCTGATGATATGCTCTCCATCTCTCGTTCTGACTATTACTGCTGGTGTTTAGACTCCCTCGCTTAATTTCTAAACCTATGGGGTTATTTAAGTGGTCTCTCAAAAATTAGTAATTCTTAAAACTTTTCCAGAGATATTTAATTTAGCAGCATCATGTCGAATAAGCATTGGTTATGATTTTGTAGTAGTATCTAAATTTTATAGTGTGTGTTGTGTGAGATGCATAGATTGTTATTGTACTTTTTAATAATGCATTGATATCAATTATTAATTAATTTACTGCTTTTATTTTTTCAATCCCAGATTAATTAAACTACGATTCCATTACTAGAGATTTATATTTACAAAAATAAACATTTCTAAATAAAATATATTTGTAGAAGGTACGTATTAATTGACAAAAAAAGGTAGAAATAAAAAAATCAGCTTTAATACTAGAAAAAAGCGAATAAAAAAAAAAGAAAGCAAAACTTTTTTTTGGAAAAACTAGCACTTATTATATATCTTATTATATGCAATTTGGTTTCAAAGTTACTTATTAACAAGATCATGATTCGTGACTCATAACTTAAACAATTATCAAAACACCAACATTGTCATTGCATTGAAATATGTAACAAACTTTGCATCTTGTGCGGGCTTCTCCTTCGCATTGCATAAAAGATTTGGACACTCAATAGTTGACTAAAAAATTATCATTTTATGATATGAGTTCAATTAAAAAAAACTGTTCTAATAATTGTACTTCCTAATCTATCAACGTACTCTATATGTTCCCACCACATAAGTACATACTAATATCTCAAACATTCCAAAAATGTGTATGCTTGGAGTTGTGTCCACATTATACTGGCAGACCATACTAATGACTCTTTCTGTGGTCTCCTCAATCTTCATTGTGTAATACTCAAATTGCCTACATTAAAAAAGAATTGGATTTCCAACAATAAGACATACAACGAAATCTCTATAAGGCAAACTAAGAAAAAAAAATCTTAATCTTCATGGAATATAATGATCACATGTACTTAGGTCATGTTGAGTAGTCTCATCAAAAGTTTAGGGATTCTAGAGGAAATGACCGTATAAAAACCATTTTCTCTTAATATGAATTATATTTATTGTTCTCTTTCTTTAATTGTTCTTAAAGACCTAGATGAATTAGGCCAATTCACCTATTACTCATGATCTAATTCTTCAAGCCACCAAAAGTGGTGTTGAATTGATGGACCTGGTATCTCTTTCCCATAAGGTTGTGGCATGTAGTCTATTCTAATACGTGACAACTGATATTCCGTCTTCCGAGTGTTAGAGATAGTTCTTTGAGAATCTATGGTGCCCATTGATTCCTTTCCATAAAATTTTTAACCTTGTCGATCATATCCATATGAAGTCACTTCGCGATCTCCCATTCTTCTCTAATACCTTGAGCTTGAGGAATAAGAAACTTCAGGCCCAATTTTTAGAAAGCTCTCTCCTTTCTCCACCATACGGATGATATCTCTCCCGATACCGAAGAATTTCTCTTTTCTTTATGCTACTACAGTCTATCTGAAACACCTTTGCTTCTATACTCTAATTTTTTCGGAATTTCCTTCGTGAGGTCGTCTCTGTGAAATGAGCCTCTTGCGTCATAATCGTTCTTGAAGTTTCTTCTTGTATGAGGCACAAATTCAGGAGCTCAATGCCTTTTTTCTTTCAGATCCAAGTTGGCCCATGCTCTTTCAACAAGTCTCCCTCCTTGATATCGAATTAAAATTTCATGTTTCCCAGATTTGTACCTTGCTTTTTTTCTTCAACATCCAATATGCGAGATGAGTCTAGAACTGAAAATAAAATTTAAAAATAAATGAATAGAGTCTAAAACCCTATATTTTATTCCATAATCAAATTAATTTTTTGAAACCCATACTCGGCCGGTTCACCGGGTCGTGGATTAATGGCCGGTTTTTTTTGGGTTTTCTCGGTTTTTAAATTGTCGGATATTAACATTAAACCCAAACCGGAAAAATTTTTGGGTCGTGGGTTAACCGGTCAGACCGGACGGTTCGGATCGGGCGTGAAAACACTGATCCAAACAAAACGAAAAAAATAGATGATTTTAAAATAATGCGAGCAGAATTTAAAAATTCGGCAAAATAGGAGCCTGTTTTTGCAATAAAATTTTTTAGAAGCTTATTGTTGTATCGGATGGGCTCGCTAGGCCCACGACTGGCTCTGAAATAGGCCTATAGGAGCAGGTTCAAGATGGAGAAGACCCGTTT